AAATATTAATATTTTTTATGTTTCATTCATCACTAACTTTAGTTTACCTTCAAATAAATAATTGTAAATAAAATGTTTTAATGGAGAGTTTGAAATTACTATTTAGTTTGATCTTTTTATTTTATCTTTTTTAGTAAAACGTGACTACTGGCAGGGTCAGGCTTTATACTGTAGCTATTTCCCTTAAAAATAGACCATCTGTTGTGTACTGTTTACAGTTCTAATGGTACAAAATCAGAACAAGCTTTTACGGGAAACCAAAAGGAGTTAAACTATGACATTTATTGATTTTTGTTTATTTTCAGACATAGCAGAGTCTTAGTAAAATGCTCCAGATGACACAGGTCTGCAGCCTCTCTGAGGACAGACATCAGCTGAGCAAATTTGTTCAAAAAACAGCAAAGCCCGGCTGCTAAACTATTCATGAAGACCGAAGCTGTTTTAGTCAATTATTGAGAAGACAACACAAGCAGGAGTGTCAGTAAACAGGTAAACATCCAAAGCCCTGAGACCGTAAGGCTTAAGAATCTCAGTGTTTTTTTTTTCTGACCTTCTAGCATTCTCTTTGGAACAAACCAGTTCTAACAAAATGGAAATGAAGCTCCATCTCTGCTGAATGTATAAGTTGGTAAGACGGGCCTAAGTTTTCTGATTTGCTAGTGTTCTGCTTGAATATGACTGGAATCATCAATTGGACAAGAAATCATTATGTTTTGCAGAAATGAGCATATAATCAGCATCGCCTCTTCTTGGTGAAAGCATAAAATTAGCTGCTGAATTGACAGTATCTGGTGCAAAAACACATTTGTTACATTTAGCACCTCATGGTGAGGAAAAAGAAAAACAAGAGGCTCTGGTTGAGAAATATTACATCCAGTGATCTTTAGGTGTTTTTGAACCTTTTATCTTGTTGCTCTAAGTGCCTTTCCACCAGGAGGTTTGATATTTGTTAAAGTACTGTGAGCCATTGTGAAAGTATTATACTGTAACTCTTTAATCAAATCCATATTACCCAACATGTGCTCTCATCGTATATTATTTTGTTTTGACAAACTCATTTGTTACTCTCTTCAGTGTCTAATATCAGAATAATTACTATTACACAGGTATGAGGAGCTGGGTTTGAGCTCAACTGGTGTTTTTCTGTGTAGTTTGCATTTTGCACCATGACCTTAAACGGGATTAAGAAGGAAATGAGTGAAGGGATGAATGTTTAGTTAGTTTGTTTTATKGGAAATTATATATTACAAGAAAATGGAATTTGAAGATTTGTGATGCAGTTTTAAACATGTAAACTGACACCACAAGTCATAGTCAACAGCTGCATAAAAACACATTTACATTAAACAAACCRAGCTCATTCTTAAATTCCACACAAAAGATGCAACATAAAAAGTTTGACATGTCTTACCACAAAAAAAACTTCTCTAGATGTCATTCCAGAGGAGAAAACTTTCCAGGAGGTCATACCTTAATTTACGAGCATAGCTTGCCTCATTAGTTTTTAGTGTTGACAGGAATTTTTAGTGTGAATAGGTTATGAATTTCAGCCAGATATGCAAGGTGATTTCTGTCTCCTGAAGATAAAATTAGCAAAGTGTCCGGTTTTAAGGAGAGATGTACCCAAGCGTTAACACTAAACACGGGGAGCTCAAGTAAAAATGTACAGATTTATATATTTATACACTATAAAGCTGGCATGGCAGCAAATATAAAGCAGGTGGTTGTGTTGGAGAAAAAGCTTGAATAACACAAGAAAACCAAACAGGACATGACAGAGTGAAGATAAGTGAGAGCTGAGAAAATAAATAGATTTGGACTGATGAGGTGGATAGAGACAGCTGGCTTAATGGAAACAGAGAACAGGTGTAGGTGGTTATTACAGTTATAAGAGTCAGTTGTGAAGCACTGTTGTGTCACAAACTTGTCAAATGCTACRAACATTTGTGACAAACGTCAAGCAAATTTGATCAAACCATTTTTTCAGCTCACTTGTTCTTGATTAGGAGTGCCARGTGACAGAACTGATGAGCAACAACAGCCCCAAACAGCCTCCGTCTTTCCAGACTCGTTATGAGACAGGGACGAGGCAACTTAAAGCACCTTTGAATTTAAGTCACACACAAGTCCACAAATAAATGTAACCACCTCGGGGGCTCGCTCACTACAACCGTTTGAATGAAGGCACTAAAACAAACTGAAGGGTCTGAAACACCTASAGTTCACTGCGAGGGATATTTGTCATTTTTCTCCACCACGGCGTGTTAAATGTGACATGAAATCACAGCTATCAACTATCGCTTCTCACAAGAGAAAGGTTGAGCCTGCAGCTAATTTTACGCTTTTAAGAAACTCAAAAAAAGAGCCAATTAACACAACACTCGCACAAATAAACACTTTTATTCTTGCTGTTTAAGCTGATTGTTTTTTCTTGATATATCAAAAAAGTTTGCATTGTGATCATGTTTATTTTTAAATTTGAGTGATGCCACTTGTGATTTGTTTGTTAAAAAGGTATTAAACATTCAAAATATGTGCATCTAAATAATTTTTTTTATCTTTATATACTCCTTTTTTTAGCAATGTTGAATATTATTGGCTTTATTTATTTTAAGAGAAAATGTAGTTTATCTGAGCCCTGGTATATAATGCAAATAGGAGCAGTGTTATATGGGCACAAGTGTACTCACCATCCTCCCGAGACTTCTGAATGAAAGCTTCGACACCACTTTCTCCGTAGTTTCCCTCCGAGGCCACTGTAGAGACGTAGTTCCAGCGCATGTTCTTAACTATGTCCACCATGGCCTGTGCCTGATACGTGTCTGGAGGCACCACACGAGAGAAGAAGTCGTAGCGGGTGTTGTCACTCAGCTCTGGAGCTGTTGAGGCGTAGCTCACTTGTGGTATCTGCATTCAGACATGTTGATAGAAGCATAAAATCAGAAGGTGTGTTAGTGCTTTTCAAAAACAAGGTCAAGTGTTTAATTTAAAATCAAACAAGTTCAGATTTTTTTGATGTGGGTTTCTATGGCTTAGTTAGGAGTATTCAGTATCCTACCTGCAGTAGATAGCAATCAAAACATTTCTGTTTATAAAATTTAAAATTATGTATCGTAAAGGAGTCAAGCTAAAAGCAAGTCCAACTGAAGCTTATTCAAAAGCAAATTTCAGCCACCTAATAGAACTCAAAAGCCAACACATTGTCCATTCATCCATTTTCTTCCGCTTTTTTGAGGTCGGGTTGCGAGGGCAGCAGCCTAAGCAGAGAGACCCAGACTTCCCTCCCTCAGCCACTCGAGCCAACTCATCCGGGGGAATCCCAAAGTGTTCCCAGGCCAGAGAAAYAGTCCCTCCAGTGTGTCCTGGGTCTTCCTTTAGGTCTCCCCCCAGTGGGACGTGCCCGGAACACCTCACCAGGGAGGCGTCCAGGAGGCATCCTAACCAGATGCCCGAGCCACCCTCCTCTTGATTTTTGACTCTGTGGTGGCACCGGCCATCTTCTACGGGGTGGTTAGCTGGAGAGGCAGCTTTTCTGAGAGGAAGCAGTTTGAAAAGTCCATCAGGAAGACCAGCTCTGTGCTGGGATGCCCGAAGAACTCCGTCTCCCACCTCATGCATGAAGCTGTGGCTGAACTGGAGAGCTCCTTCAGCGACAGACTGCTGCATCCGAGGTGCACAAAGGAGCGTTATCGTAGATCCTTCCTGCCTGCAGCTGTCAGACTCTATAACCAGCACCACGCACAAAAATCACAAATGTTAACAAAAATCACAATAAGTGTTTACACACCTGCTACCTGCACAATCATTTGTACTGTTACTGTTCATTGTGATTACTCATCTGAACAATCATTTGCATTACCACTCATTTATATTATTACTAATTTGAGCAATCAGTTGCTCTGTTATTACCTATTTTAAACTTTTAAAATAGTTCTGCTGTAATTGCACGTCTGTGTGTTTATTGTCTGCACTGTGATACTTTACATTTAATAGTCAGTTGAGATTGTTTTGCCCTGAAAATAGGCAAATTCTGATTTCTAATATGTGATGCTCTACTGTCTCTAAGATAAAACATACAGTATATGTTTTATTCTTGCACAATTATTTATATTATATTTTTATTAGTAGTAGTATCATTGCTAGTCAGTGTTAATTTCATTTTTTGTGTACTATCTATAGTTTGTAAAGTAACTAGTGTGTGAACCTTTGTACTGATGCTGCTGTGACACCTGAGCTTCCCCTCGGCGGGACAATAAAGGCTATTTCTATTCTATTCTATTCAATGTGGAGGAGCAGCGGCTCTACTCTGAGTYCCTCCTGGATGACCGAGCTTCTCCCCCTATCTCTAAGGGAGAGCCCAGACACCCTGTGAAGGAAAMTCATTTTGGCCGCTTGTGTCCGTGATCTCATTCTTTCAGTCACTACCCAAAACTCGTGACCATAGATGTGGGTAGGAACGTAGACCGACCGGTCAATCGAGCTTCGCCTTCTGGCTCAGCTACGCCAATGGGCTTCCAAAAGCCAACACAATGATGGGGCTTTTTTACTGCATTACTTTCCCATTAGATAATTACATGGAGTCAGAAATAGCAATGACGGCTTATCTATGGTGCATTATAAGAACAAACAAAAAAACAAGTTAAATGTTATCACAAGTGCAATAAAGACAAATGCCACTTCTTAGTTTAGTCATCTTCTGCCATAAATCCTAAATCTATGTAAAGCTCTATTGAAAAACTTCATTTCTTGTGCCTAGAGAAACATGTAGCGATCCAGAAAAGTCCTGCAGGGTTGTTGATAATACCCAGCGTCTCTGTGACCTTGAGCTGCAGCGAGACGTCTTCTTCACAAGCTGTGATGAGCGTGTCACATCTGAGTAAGGGTCACTTGTTCAACTTAAACACACCGTGAGGACATCCACTTTCTTAGCAGTGACTATTTTCTGCACAACAAACTGTACTTTTCAACTATAGCTTTATTTTAAAGCATTGCATTTGTCTTGCTATAACTGCTTTAGTTTCTGTTGTTTGTTTTGTAGGGTTGTCTACGCTTTTGGCAGATTGTTGCTTTAACATCTCAAAGGATGCACCAAAGAAGTTACCAAAACTGTTTTTATAATATAGGCCAGCTAAAACATAAAGCTTTTTGTTGAGTGACCATAATTTCATTGACAATTTCTTCATGATTTATATTTTTTTAACACAAGAGCAGTTACGGCCTTTCCCTCCATCAGGTTTTGTAATAAGTAAAACTGTGTTTGGGCAAAATACAATTTTCATCCATATAGTATGCAGTGAAGAAAAACAGACAGGAAGCAGCAGTACTCCCAGGTGTGTGCCTTTTTGGTGAAGATCTGTCGTCATGTTTTTGTGTCTCTCAACAAAATGAGGAGAAAATGCACTCTGTGAAACACGATTTTAATGAAAACGGCCCTGTTTTCTCTCTAGATGTGTCTTTACCAAATGCAGCATTTTATTATCGCAGACAGCAGACCTGTAACGCTGGCACACACAAGCCTTAATATTAAACATTTATTCTAAAGACAACATCTTCTCACAACAATGAGCATCAGTGTGGTTTTGCTCACTTATTCAGGTAAAGTGTTATAAAAATAAATGAGCTGGGTGATGTTTCCTCAGTAGCAAATGACAATAACTAAATGTGCAACAGGAAGAACAAAGGAAGTATACAGATAAGAGAAAATACAAAGAAGAAAGAAAAAATCAGAACACAATCTGAATAATGTGGAAAATTGACTTACTGCATACTTAATGGGCTCCTTTGAGTAGCAATGATGTTAGGCACCAAAAGAATATTTTCACAGTCATCTGCTGTATAGAAATGCCTAAAAACAGAGCTGAGATTCATCTAATATTAGCCTCCAATGCTGAGGTCTTACAGGAATCAGATATCAGGCTGAAGTCATCGATTCATCCAGTCTTCCAGAATCTGATGATACACAGGGGAGGGTCACTGGGGTATTGGCCCCTGCTGAAATCTTATTGGCCCCCTGAAGTGCCCCTGTCCTGTCACTCATCTGTCCTTTGCCTGAGAACAATGGTCCTCATGCAAAAACCGTTCATATGCACAGATTTGTTCTTAAGTTGTGCATACGAGTGATTTAGGAGAATTTGTGGCATTCACCAATGTTTTTGTATTCTAAGATTTTTTTCAGATACGAACAAAATTCACGAGTGGTCCAGACCTGTCGTATATTTTATGAGCAGTCAGTCTGCTGTTATCCAGACGGGTTTTCTTCACTAATAACTTTATATTTCGTTCCTTTGAAGATATTTTGAATTGAAAATAAATTACACTCCATAATTATGCTGACAATAGGCTATTCTGCTTGAATTAGAGTTATAATTTTAAATGTAATAATTAAGACTAACAATAAAAATTGTCCGTCCGGCCGGCTTATCCGCTATTGAGTGCGGGTGCAGCAGGAGAGAGACCCCGCTCTCCCCAGCGACACCTTCCAGCTCGTCCTGGGGGACTCCGAGACGATCCCAGGCCAGAGGGGATACACAATCCCTCCAGTGAGTCCTGGGTTTTCTCCAAAGTGCCAGACTTATTTTGAAAACATTTTAAAATGCTTATTTCAAACCCGCTTCTGAGACCACCTGCGACCGCGCGGGGGGGGGGTACGGTACGGTGTCTTCTGAATAAATGAAAATGATTTAACACAGTTGTTTACGCTTTTAGCAGCTCTTTTTATTCCACAGCTGACCTGCTAAAAATGACAGATTTTCTTTTCTGGATCTCTGACAGACGGACTTCAATCTCTGAACTCGTAAAGTTTTTCTTTTTTTAGTTTTCACTGTCATTTTCATGAATGAACACTTCCTTGTATCTGAGGCAAGAAACAGCCTTATATGGTGTTTTTGGGGTGGTAATTATGTTAATCTCCTCTCGCGTGCACGAGCAGCTGGATACGAACAGGTGGAATTTACGCAGCTCATTTACACACTTTTCCTGAAGATAGAAGWGTTTGTTGAATCTGACGTGACATGTTCGTATGAACCCTTTGTACGAACAAAAGTAAGAGAAATTTAGGATAAGAATACGAACATGTTCTTGCAAGAGGCCCAGTGATGGTGGGTGCAGTTCCACGCGCAAACGCTAGAGGCACTAATGAATCAAACAGTAAAGTCCAGTATGAATCAACATGACAGAAGTCTTTTTCTCTTCTTTGAAAGACTTGAACAATTTTGTAAAAAAAAATCTTTCAACTGGCAAACAACGGCTTCATTTTCTCACATGCTTTGACAATATTTTATCCATGTACAGTAAACATGCATGTAACAATGAAAAGGAAAATTTAAGCTTTTTAAATAACATTACATGGCATTACAATTATTTGAACAAATGTGACCAGTTAAATTTATTTATTTATTAATTTATTTATTGTTTGAATTTGTACTTGAGGAAAAAGGGGCAGATGTTATGATTTTTTTTCTTCTCTGCCACCTTTCATTTCATTTTATTTGTATTTTTTTAATTGTATATAGAATTAATTTAGTTTTTTTTAAGAAATTAATAAAGTTTGAAATAAAATAAATAAATAAAAAACTATGCACCTTACCAAAACCGAGGATTTGTGTACAAGGATGTTGAACAAAGCCTTGGCCCCTCTATGAATATTGTGGCCCCTTGATGGCCCCTTACTCAGAAAAATCCTAGATCCGCCACTGATGATACAAATTGTAAAATAGCTGTTTTTATCATAGAAGTTTAAACACATGTTTAAACAAGTGTGTGTTGTTGTGTAAGAACATCTCCAGTAGTCCTAGGACTTTTTCTTGTTAGATTTTCCAAAGGTTAAACAGAGTTTCTTATGTGAAGCTGCTTCCTCAAAGACAGTTTTACGAGTGAGCATCTTGTCGGCTAAGCTTGTCTGCCAGCAA